AAATTTAAAGTCAATCGGATATTAACTTTAGCCTCTAGAGCGTCCACAAGATTTTTCAAAGTGATCAAGGGCCATAACTCTGGCAAAAATTATCGGAAATCGCTGAAAATCACTAGGCTTCTTCGTCTCATGGTCTTCAACACTGTATATAAATTTAAAGTCAATCGGATATTAACTTTAGCCTCTTGAGCGTCCACAAGAATTTTCAAAGTGATCAAGGGCCATAACTCTGGCAAAAATTATCAGAAATCGCTGGAAATCAATAGGCTTCTTCGTCTCATGACCTTAAACACTGTGTATCAATTTCAAGCCAATCGGATATTAACTTTAGTCTCTAGAGCGTCCACAAGATTTTTCAAAGTGATCAAGGGCCATAACTCTGGCAGTAATTATCGGAAATCGCTGAAAATCAATAGGGTTCTTCGTCTCATGACCTTAAACACTGTGTATACATTTACAGTCAATCGGATATTAACTTTAGCCTCTAGAGAGTCAACAAGATTTTTCAAAGTGATCAAGGGCCATAACTCTGACAGTAATTATCGAAAATCGTTGAAAATCAATAGGCTTCTTTGTCTCATGACCTTAAACACTGTGTATAAATTTAAAGTTAATCGAATATTAACTTTGACCTCTAGAGCGTCCACAAGATTTTTTGAAGTGACCAAGGGCCATAACTCCGACAGTAATCAGGCTTCTTCGTCTCATGGCCCTAAACACTGTGTATAAATTTAAAGTCAATCGGATATTAACTTTAGCCTATAGAGCGTCCACAAGCAATTGTGGACGCCGGACCGACAGACAGACGGACGGGGGCGACAACAATATACGACCACATTTCAATGTGGGCGTATAAAAATTGCAACCTTTAGTGGAACCACAAGCTAAAAGCGTGATTTTTCGTACAATCAGGGGCCATAATTCAGGAAGTTATGATCCGATATGCGCGGATATCAAAAAGAACCAAGATCTTTGGGATATAAACACGCATTCCAAGTTTCATCAAAATCGGATGAAAATGGTGTCCTCTAGAGGACCCACAACCTTGATATACCATATTTTACACTATTTGCGTACAACGGGTGGCCATTTTGTCCGGTAGTTTTGGTCCAATTTTCACGAAATTCATACTCCAGTATCATTAGGGTGCAACGGTGATATACTAAAACGTTTTTTTAAATCGGCTAAAAATTGTGACCTCTAGAGGAACCAAAAGCTAAAAGTGTGATTTTTCGTACAATCAGGGGCCATAATTCAGAAAGTTAAGATCCAATATGCGCGAATATCGACAGAAACCACGAACTTGGGGGATATAAAAATGCATTCCAAGTTTCATCAACATCGGATGAAAATTGTAACCTCTAGAGGGTCCACGACCGTGATATACCATATTTTACACTATTTGCGTACAACGAGCAGCCATTTTGTCCGACAGTTTTGATCCGAAATTTGATCACGAAATTCGAACTCCAGCATCATTAGGGTGCAACGGTGATATACTAAAACATTTTTTTTAAATTGGATAAAAATTGTGACCTATTGAGTGACCACAAGTTAAAAACGTGATTTTTCGTACAATCAGGGGGCCATAATTCAGGAAGTTATAAACTTACATTTCAAGTTTCAACAAAATCGGATAAAAATTGTGACCTCTATAGGGTCCACAACCTAAAAACGCGATCTTTCGTACAATCAGGGGCCATAACCCATGATAATTGTGGACAGATGGACGGACATGGGCGACGACAATATACGTCCACACGAAAATGTGGGTGTATAAAAATTGTGACCTGTAGAGTGTCCACAAACTAATTGTGGCCGGCCGGACAGATGGACAGGGGTGACGACAAAATATGTCCACATGAAAATGTGGGTGTATAAAAATATTATTGAAGAAATTTTGAAAGGAAATAATGTTTTCAGTGAAAAAAGAATTAATGTAATTGTTGTATTTTGGCATTTTTAAGAATTACAAGCCAACAGTGAGACTGATGTCCCCTGCCAAAATCCCAAAATAAATAGATGACACATATTAATTTATCGCAAATTTTTTTTTTTTAAAAGTATCAAGCAATCAAAATAATTATCAACTATACACCAAGTTTCATCACTCTCTATCAGATAGAATCAAAGTTATCTTGTCCTAAAGCATCGACCAATGAAATAGTTTGGCTCTGCTTAGCTTTAGCTTGAAATGTTAATCATTTAACTCAATCAAGACATTCACCTAATGAACATCTACATCAAGTTTAAACATTCTACCTCAATTGTAATGTTCGAAAGTCTTGACCAATCAAATTGCTTATTGCTCCTTAGCTTAAGCAGAAAATTCTCATCATCGAACATAGTCAAGGTAATGATGTAATGAATCTATTCTTGGAGTTTCATCACTCTCAATTAATTATAACCAAAGTTATCGTGCCCCAAAGCATCAACCAATCAGATTGCTTATCTCTGCTTACCGTAAGCAGACAATGTTTATCATCAAACTAGATTAAGGCCTTCACCTAGTAAATGCCTACACCGAGTTTGAACATTCTACCTCTATTAGAAGAAGAGTTATTGTGTTACCCTGAGCAGAAAGCGCTCATTATCGAACTTAGTTAAGGTATTGATGTGATAAAACTATACACCAAGTGTCCTCACTCTCACTTAATTAGAACTAAAGTTATTGTGTCCCAAAGCATCAACTAATTAAATTGCTTATCTCTGCTTACTGTAAGCAGAAAATTCTCATCTTCGAACTCCATCAAGACATTCACCTAATAAACACCTATGCCAAGTGTGAACATTCTAGCTCAATTAGAATGAGATTTATTCTGTTCCAAAGTCTCGACCAATCAAATTGCTTATCACTCTGCTTGCCCTGAGCAGAAAATGTTCATTATCGAACTTAGTCAAGGTATTGACGTAATGAAACTATACACTAAGTCTCATCACTCTCACTTAATTAGAACTAAAGTTATTGTGTCCCAAAGCATCAACCAATTAAATTGCTTATCTCTGCTACTGCAAGCAGACAATGTTCATCATCAAACTAGATCAAGGCATTCACCCAATAAACGCCTACACCAAGTTTGAACATTCTACCTCAATTAGAAATGAAATGAAATGAAATGGGGTTTAACGTCATACTGTTCTGCTCCTATACTGGGCTAGTGAAGACGGGCATACGCCATACAGTGTACTATGAGGGAAATTTTGCCCGGGCAGCGGCACTATCACCTACTCTTATATCGAATTCCAACTGCCAAGGGATCTTTTACGTGCATTCTAATGTATACACGAGACCTTGGTTTTTCATATCATCCGAAGGACTAGACAGCTGTCCTTGTCAGGCCCTCCGTTCTGCACCACTGACAAGGGGAAACCACGTCGGAAAATCAGGATGAACTTTCTCGGCCAATGCAGGGATCGAACACCTCAATTAGAAGGAGAGTTATTATGTTCCAAAGTCTTGGTCAATCAAATTGCTTATCGCTCTGCTTACCCTGAGCAGAAAATGTTCATTATCGAACTTAGTCAAGGTATTGATGTAATAAAACTATACACCAAATTTCATCACTTTCACTTAATTAGAACTAAAGTTATTGTGTCCCAAAGCATCAACCAATCAAATTGCTTATCTCTGCTTACCCTAATCAGAAAATGCTCATCTTCGAACTCCATCAAGGCATTCACCTATACCAAGTTTGAACATTCTAGCTCAATTAGAAGGAGAGTTATTGTGTCCCAAAAAGTGTGACGGACAGACAGACCGACAGACAAACCCAATTTAATAGTCCCCTCATTTCGTCGAAAGGCGGGAGACAAATATCTATTGGGTAAAATCTGAGGTCAAGGGAGGTCTAGATTAGGGTACCCGTTTCATAAACAGAAGTCTTATGAAATCTTCACAAGTTTGACAGTGACAGTTTTAAGGTGTAGACAGATTCTAGCACGAGGTGTGTTTGTTTCGCAAAACAAGGTATTGATATGTGTATGGAGTTTCATACTGATATCTTGAACAGTTTATGCTCCAGAAACAAAACTTGGACAGAGAGAAGGATGGTGCCCATTTCAATATCCCTCCCTCAATATCGTTTGACACAATGCGGGGGGTGTTAGGGGGTTGAGGTCAAGTGGTCGAACATGGTCCTCTGAATTTCGCCAAATGTAAAGACTCTACGCCCTTGCAATTATTGAAATAAAATTGCACCATGTGTTGGTCCATAATTTGTGTCAATTGAATGTTAAACTGTTCAATGCTTGAAGTACTTTGTGATAAGTTGAACAAGAAATATATTTTGTTCAAATTCTTAGTTTGATATCCTATAACCCATATGGTTAAAATGTCAACCTGTTCAATAACGATTTGTAGTTAATATTTTCTATATACATCATTAAGCAACGTTGTGTCAATATCGCATATGCTAAAAGTAATTAAGTCTGGCCCACATCGAAGCAGGGCAAATACCATTGCCAACATTGCATTTCCACGTATCTAAATGGTGCACAGATCATGCGTCATTAATTGTTCGGCTTGACTAAGGTTAGTTTTTATCATTCATCAGACCACAAATACAGCCATCCCATCTTCTCCATGGTAATTCACATTTACATTTGCATAATCAAATTTGGTCGAATAAAATCCATCCAGAAATGCAGACTTGAGCTCAAGCTTGTTTGAATAGATCGAGTAATTATGATGGATTGAATCTCTTTTCTCATTTCACATACAAAAAAAAATATGCCGACATTTCATCTAAATGCACAATCAGAATTATCCTTTCTATGAATCTTCAGACGAATCAAATTTATAGTCATTAAAGAGAACAGGTTAAGGATTTCTGGTAATATAACCAAAGATTGTTGTAAGATTTCGTCATATTTCTAGAAATATGCTGATAATTATTATCTAGACTGTATTTAGATGAGTACTTAATGGACATAATATTTGTGGTCTCTATTTATCATACATATATTGATTATCTAATATAGGAGAAAACATCTTAACATACCCAATTTTTTAGCAACTTTATCGATTGTTCTAAGTGCTGATGGTATTTCAGATGATGAAAGTGCCACTACTTCTATTTCTCCAACTTGGAACCCATGGTTGGTGCTATCCAGATCCACCTGACACCCATCTAAGATGTATGACTTTCTCACTGTGTTTATAGTTGCAAAATCAACAAGATTAGCTTTCTCGAGTAAATAACTTAAATTAGACTTCTTACCCAAATTGAGTGTTAATTTATTAGCAATAAAATTGATAATATCCTTTTCCTTTGTCAATTCTTGGTATTTTGTATTCACATCAAAAATTGGATCAGAATGTACAGGAATTTTCATCTGCCAATCTGAATCTCGTTGTCTTAACCAGCAATCAGATAAAGTAAGCAAATAGTCCTCGTTGTCCCAATAAACATCTGTAAATGATTTCTCAGATTTAAGCTGGGCACCAGAATCTTTCAACTTTGCTTCAGTATCAGGTCCAACAGAGAATTTTCTTTCAACTTCCACAGGAATTGCTACAATTTTGGTCTGAACAGGAGATGAAGATATTGTTCCTGAATCCACAGATGACTTTGAAACAATTGTAGATATATCTCCTTTGGTTGTGTTAGATTCTGCTTTTAAGAATTTTTCTTCTTCTGATATTATAACCCATTCATCTGTGACAACTGTATTTAATTTTGTATCTTGGGAAGCTATAGATGTTGTTGAAGTAACATGCTCTTGACTTACAAATTTTGAAGTATTGTTTTTGGAGTTGTATGTTACTTCATCTGTCTTTTGTAAATTTCTTTGATTCAACTCTTCTGTTTTTGAAAGATTTTTAGTGAACACAGAGTCAAATGATGACGAGGATTCAATGCTTTCAGTACTGACAAGCAATGACTTGGTCACAGTATCTGACCTCTCTTCAAAACTAGACTTCCTTCCAATAGCAAAAGTGGCTTGTGACAGTTCTTTCTTTTGAGGTGATCTATCCTGAAGATCATATTCAACAGTTTTATTCATAGTCACAGCTACAATACTTGTTTCTTTTTTAGGGGATTTACCAATGTTAAAAGTTAAAGAAGAAAGTTCTGTCTTTTGCTTTTCTTGCTTTTCCAGATCAAAATCTTTGTTTTTGTTAACAGTTAGTGTTGATGTAACACTTGTCTTACGTTCTTTACTTTCTACATGTGTAATTTTACTAGATTCAGGTTCATCACTCTTGTGTTTTATATCTTCAAATGCCCAAGCCCTAATAGCAAAGCCAGGAGTATAATAGGAGCGAACTTCTTCATCCTTTTTAGGGGAAGACAAAGCCACAGGAACAGTATTGAGACTTGGATCTTCTTCGACAGATGAAGAGATATTTGTGAAAGCATGATCCTTGGCTTTCAGTTTGAGATTCGTGTCGGTTGATACTTTGTTTTCTTTATCTATTGAGGTTGTACTGAAGACAGCTTGCTCCATATCTTCATCTGTTAACATAGATGATGCTAGACAAGGTGAGATGGGAGATGTATTATTAGATGATGTATGACCATTGGTAACATCTACTGTTAACTTTGAACAGATCTGTGTTTTTGTAAGGTGTTGTTTTTTTGGTGTTTTCAGGGTAACCTCTGTTCTGTCAACAAACTTTTCATCCATGATTCAACTCAATAATTTGGAATCTGAAAACAGAAAATGAAATTTTTTTAAATGATAAAAAGTGATTATCTTCAAGCAAAAAAGTGCTTACATAGGAAACAGTATAAATGCACATTTTTGGACCTGGGAAAACCTACAAGTTTAGGCAGCTGGTCCTATTTGGGATGAACTGGCAAAACACCATACTCATTCTTCAGTAGACTTTTTGAATCACCCATTAAGTCTAGCTTTAAGTGTCTATAATGGATCATAATAATGGCACAAAATCATGTACGATAAATAATTATTTTCACCGACCCATGTTGATGCTAAATTTAAATGTAAACTAGCGGATGCCAGGAAATGTACGCCCACATTTTGCAAGAGATGGATAGAGAACAAACTAAAAACAAAAGCAATTTTTTCGTATAATCAGGGGCCATAATCCAGAAAATTATGGTTAGAAATGGTTAAATATCGAGAGGAACCAAGATCTTTGGGTTATAAACATGCATTTCAAGTTTCATCAAAATCAGATGAAAAGAAACAGAGATCTTTGTGAGACAGACCTATATTTCAAGTTTTGTCAAAATTGGATAAAAACTGTCACCTGTATACTGTCCAAAAAAAAATTGTCGATGGATGGACAGACGGGGGCGATGGCATAATACGTCCACATGAAAATGTGGGCGCATAAAAATGCATATTTAATTAAATAATGGGAGGTATTATTTTACAAAATTAAACTTGTCTTTTACTGAATGTGTTTCTCTAACAAAATTTCAATTGAACCAGTCATATACTTAACAATAAATGACCCACAGGCTAGGTAACTTAATAAGGAACAGTGTCTAAGAAATAACTTATCAGAGACCTGCCCTTCAGTATGTCCTCCTACCTGCCTGTGGTCAACTGCCTACCATCTACAATCCTTCCTCTAATATACTAGAGGCTACTTGGTAACAATAAACAATAATTATATATATTTAAACTTATACATTTTATAGTTGTTAAGGGGGTAGTATTTAAATGACATCCATTCCTTCATTTACTAAAGTGACTAATTAGGTTGTGATTATATAATGTTTATAAATGGATTATCTCATTACTACTTTTGTCTATTATCTCTGTCATAGTTGACAATTGTTAATTTACTTTAGATAATCCATTTTGGGTGCCCAGTTATGTGTAAGTCTACTACCTTAATATTGGGTGGATGGCTGCGTTAAATTTCTACCTGGTCATACATGCATACTGTAAAGCTATTTCGGTAATTTTTATATGCTCATCAAACAACAATTTTCTAAGAGGAGAGTATCCTTTTACATTAATGAATCAGTGACATATATCTAATAAATAATTTTACCACCTTCATAGTAATGAATATTAAATAGGCATATACTTCAGAAATTATAATAAAGCCCTCCATTGTGTAGTTAGGTTATCAAAAGAGAAAAATATAACAGTATAAACACGTCAATGTTTAAAACAAGCTGATATGTTTTACTAATTTTTTAATATTTTTTGATACTACCACATAAAAATAATCCCTTATTATTTTGACTTACATAAAAAATCTCTAAATAATTATATGGAGGTGAAAAAAAATTACAATTTAATAAGTAATATAGCTGGGTGGTAGCATAGCTGAATTAATATCACCGCCAATTCTCTAACAAACAATGAGTCGAGTTGAGGACCGCATTCCAACACAACAAGTGATCAAATAAGGGGCAATGAAGTATAATTCCTTAATTGTTTAAAAAGAGAATAGAAGCTCTGAGTCTCATAAGCTAGCCTACCATCTATTGTCCTCAAACTGAAAGCCACCTTCAAAAGGTACAATTAAGAAACAGAGAAGTCTTTGTCCTAGCACCCTGTAGATCTACCATGGTTTTTAATTGGCAAAGTTTCACAATTATGTACATGTGCTGATTTTATCTGGTCTACTTCTAGTTGAATGAAGATGAGGAGCTCCACATCAACTTAACAATAGAGAGGATACCAGAAACTTATTACTAAATCTGACCTTAAACCCCCTTCATCCAACTTATTTCTAGCTCAGTTTTTTCATGTCATCTCAAACTGAAGGAATGCCTTTGTTTGCCATAATATGATCATTTTGATTGCCTCAACTTTGTGAATAGATGATGGGAACTCTGCATGTTGCACGCCTGGTTGATTAACATTTTTTAATGTGTTATAATGATCTGGTATTCATATAGAATATCTGCAGGTGTGAAGGAACAAAAAGGGTCATTAGAAAAATCAAATGCTGCATTTGTAGAACTTTTAAAATCCATGGGTTCGTGACAGGAATTAATCTAACTCATGTAGAAAATTACTGACAATTAACACTTAGGGTATTTCATTTAAGGTAATGGGTATTAAACATTTTCATTATTAGTAGAATAACATTAACTTTCCAGGAAACTTAATTTCTTAAAGTTGCACTGCTGGGCAGGAACTATATATTTTTAACATAAGCAGATTCTCATCTTTTCCCTGAATACATTTAATTATTTAGAGGCCATTATCATTTTTCAATCAGAACTGTAGATCTTTTTTTTTTATCCAAAACTAAATTAAAACTTCAAATTATAATGCAAAGCTATTGCATACATAGAACAATAGAAAATACAAATATGGTTCCACTTGGATTGACCATCATTCAGCAACAGCAATTTCAAAGATTTCATAACTTAAAATTGTATTTTCTAATTACATTGCTACTTTTCTTCTTAAACACTAAACTATACCACATAAATTAATTTCACTTTCTGCATGCAATGATTTCAGTTCAGTTACATTGATTTTTTTTTTGAAAATCCAGTTACCTCCCTTGCAACTACTACATTTATTGTTTCATGTTACAGTACCAATACATAATACACACACACAGCAGTAAATGATTTCCTAAGCATTTTCACGGTCCTCTGACTCCTTTCAATACTAAACACAAATCTAAAATCACTTAGAGTTAACAAGTTACATTTCTCGATGAGTTAAGGCACTGGAGGTCCCTGGTTCGATCCAAGTTTGGGTTGAGAAAGTTCCTCAATATTTTCCTGCATGGTTTCCCTATGTCAGTGATGCAGGACAGATGTCCTGGCAAGTAACAGTTTATAGTCGTGCAGATGGTACGAAAAACCAAAGTCCTGTGTACACGTTGAGATATAAGTAAAAGAATCCTTGACAGTTAGAATTCAATATAAGAGTAGACCGTAGCGACACTGTTCGGGCAAATTTCCTGTCTTCATTAGCCTGGATGGAACAGACAAGTAGGACATTAAACCCCATTTAATTTCATTTGCTTTACTTGATATTTAAAGGATACCAGTGTTTTATCAAATACCCTATTTAAAAGTTTTAAAGATTCGGATACAAACACTTAAAAAGTGGGACATGTAACCCAATTTCATTTTCCTAGGTACCTATACAGTTTAACTATATCTAAACAAGTGTAAGTAATTCATGGCCAACTTTTCCATCTACAGATACCCACCTGCCTGTAAATAATGAAGATTAAAGCAATAAATGAATCCAGATTTGAGAAAACTATGATTATTTATCTTGGATCTACTAATGAATCAAAGACAGTAACATTGCACTACTTTCCTTTACTTGTATGCCATGATTCTAACCGTCATATTTTACTCATTACTCACATATTTGTAAAGTATGGTCAATGACGGATAAAAACAGACATCTTTGATAGGATACCTTAATTTCAAGAGTGAAAAGAATATATGTATGCAAGTATTTCATTTTAAAGCTTTCAATTATGTAAAATCATAAAAAATCATTTTCCGTAATACATGATAAATTTTTTTATTTCTTTTTTACAACAAACATAAAATCATTTTCCTTCTTAGAATCTTTTAATTCTAAAAATCAAGAGAATTTTATCATAGCAAGATGGCTTTGTCTTGAAATGTATTGTTAATATAAGTTCACAGAAGATATCAATTTGGTAGGAGACTGCGGTTTTACTTCCGTAGCCAAATTCCTTCACTGTTCAAAATTAATTTGATCCAAATGTCCACTAGCAAAATTCAAACTTAAAGTTATACATTAGGCCAACACACAAAGCTTGTTTCATTGCAGTGTATAATTATTTAACAAATAACTGTACAACATTCTATTACCAGAAATAACTATGTTGGATCTAAATTGACTAATATTTTCTGTGTGGATGAATAAGACATCGTTTACTTTAAACAGGTTAACCTTATTTATGACCATTTAACAAAACATCATAAAGTTACATCATTTATCCCACAAATCCTTAATTTAGGTTCTTGAACCATATATTGTATGTCTTTGCCACAAATCCAAAACTTTGGGTGTGGACAAATGATGCAGCGATGCCGCTGTAAATGTAAAATAATGTTCTTTGTCAAATTTCCAAAAGGAAATGTTATGTTTTTGTGACACAGTCCGTATGCTCATGTAGTTACTGAAGTATAGATGTTCAGATGGTACTTAAATCGAAGATGAACATTGCAGCTATTCTTTACACAGAAGTTTCCACCCCCTTTAGTGCACATTTCCATAGCAGTCAAGGCAGTAAACCTCATACTATCTATGTGACAACCTTGAAATCACATCACATACTTTCCAAACTATTGGCAGTCCAAGTGCCAAAAAGTTAAATCTCTGTAGAAACTGGTTGGAGATGAGAAGTGAAATAATCTTATAATCTAAAGGGTGTAAAACTAATGTAAATTGTAATTATTTATTACAGCCTAACAATTGGTGATGTGATGGATATTTTCATTTCTGGCCAATGTTGTTTCTACAAGTAGGGGTCTGTGTCGACTTGAAGCAAATGTTTTCCAGCTGCCTATATATCTACTATTCAACATTCCCTGACATTTAGCCCACAAAAACCTACACAAGTAGATGCGGGAAAATTGCAAATAAGAATTCAGCAAAAAGAGTAAGAATTTATACAATTGCCTGCAGCCTAATTGATAAAAGCTGATTAAACCACATGTGTTAATCCTTTTGCTGTTTTGGAAACTCTCATTCTGAGACATAT